ATATATATATATATATATATATATATATATATATATATATATATATATATATATATATATATATATATATATACATACACATTGGGCATGAATATCATACTACTTAGAAAATTAAAAGATTATTTACGGAAGGTTTTATAAGTGTACAAAAAATGCTTTATAAATCTCTTGTACAGGTTTGCTGGATCCAAAATGGATGGAGAATCGTCAGCGCTCCATTGCAGATAAATCTGACCAGGAGGAGGTGTTCGCTCCAGGTTCTGCAATTGATTCCAATCTGAAACAGCTGGCAGAGAGACGTACCGATATTTTTGGTATTGGTACTGAGGAGACACAGATTGGTAAAAAGGTAAGATCTTGAAACGGATCCAATTAGGTAAACATGACATCAATTATGTAAGATACTAAAAACTGAATAAGTGGTTAAAAACAAAATTCATATAATCATGTGGAAAGATTTAATTTTTTCATTATTTTTTTAATTTTTTTTTTTGCTCAATGAGTGCTATGGCTGAATTTTTCCTTTAAATCATATTTTATTGGTTATTTATATTAGTTTTCACATAAAATAATTTCAAGTCTTTTTTGCTGCGGCTGTCTTTTAAAGCAATTTTGTATGCTAAGAAATTCATTTCATGCTTTGTAATTAAAACAGTATCAATGTAAAATGGTGCACATTTTCAGATAGGTGAAGAAGAAAAGAAAGAGACTAAAGTTGTTTGGGATGGACACACAGCATCTATGGAGAAAGTCTCTCAGCTGGCGAGAGAAAATATTTCCATTGAGGAGCAGATTGCAACTATACATAGGGCAAAGGGCTTAGTGTAAGTATTGGTAAATATTTTAAATTCCATGCCACTGCTTTATAAAATGTCCTATTGGTTGCTTTGAACAACGTATTACTTTTAAAAGCATTTTGTCAAGCAAAAAAACACACCAGCACACTGAGTGAATAGGACCCGTTAACCTTAGATGGCAACTCATCTAACACCAGCATATGGGATGAATTGGACCGGTTAACCGTAGATGGCAAGTCATCTAACACCAGCATACGGGGTGAATGGGACCTGTTAACCTTAGATGGCAACTCATCTAAGTGAAGGAAATCGAAACTCGGAGGATTCCCGTGGCGGACACATTAATACAATGAAAAATTCCAACTGGAGCCAAGCTGTATCATACATATATGGTGTTCCCTTGGGCTATCTAGGTGTGTGGAGAGCTGTGATTTGCTGTCTATAGTCCTATAGAAAAATTCCAAGCCGTGTGATTTTATCCTGCAAAGTCCACACCATCGTCACTTTGTGACGGACTGACGGACGGATGCCAGTAAAAAAACAAAAAACTAAACAACTATTAATTATCACTACATCTACGATCATAATGTTTTCCTGATGATTCAACATTTAGGAACTCAAAATGACAAATGAGTAAACAGTTCATGCTTTAAATCACTGATCATGTTGTTTGAAAAGTAATCAAGTACATAAAAAGCATGTTCTTTATTTTAATAATGAGGGGGAAAAAATCAATGAATTGTTTCAATTTGTATTGCTTAAGAATAGTCATGTCATTGTGTTGAGGTTGCCACTTATTTTGGGTGACAATTATAGTTTGTACAAATGATCCAGTTAAATTACCATTATAAAAATGTGTTATTGTTTTACACTTTCACATCTGTTCAATTCCTAATGCAGACATGATGAGGAGAAAGAGAAAATTGGACCAGCTGTACCCAAAGTAGCACCTCCCCTTCCGCCCCCACCACCGTCTTCTGGAGCCTCTGCTCCACCACCCCCGCCACCCCAAGCAGTGACAACTACCATCATCCCACCTCCACCACCAGCACCGCCTCAACAGATTCGTCCATCACCTGCTATCCCCCAGATGGCTCGCCCTATGATGGCTGGTCCTCCTATGGGTATGCCTCAAATGATGGTTATACCACCCCGCCCCCCTATGATGATGGGTAAGGAATTTTCTGTGTTTATCTTTTTCCTGTACATGTATAAGAAATGGTTTTAATAAATCAACACAGTTAAGTCTTGATAACATTTTTATTATCATCATTTTCAAACTACTGATTTATGAAACTAATGTTTATTTTCTATCAGATCTAGAACTTTGTTGTCCTCCATTTAAAAATTAAACTTATGGTAATTTTATCTTTATATCATTTATTATATTTGAAGAGAAAACCTACTGTTAAATTATTATTATTCTTCAATATAATTTCTGTCTCAAGGCATGCCACGTCCACCTATGATGGCACCCATGGGGATGAGCATGCAGCCAGCGCCTCCAATGATGGCACCACAGATACCCATCAGACCTCCTGGAATGGGACCAGTACCTTCTGATGAGCCCCCAAACAAGAAACAGAAGACAGAAGAAAATTTGATTCCAGAGGATGTTTTCTTACAGAAACATAAGGTGAGCTTTCACTAAATTATGTATCCAAAAATGTACATCCTTACAAATACTTTAAAATCAGCCTTTAAAAATTTGTATTTCTTTATAAAAACTGAAATATATATTTTTTTTAAAATGTTTGTCCCTATTTGTGAAACAACTTGGGACAAACTATATATAACTTTTATTTTTATTTAACATTCTCATGTCTTTCATTGATTAACACAGGGCAATGTCAAGGTCCAGGTAATAGTCCCCAATGTTTCAGACAAGCCAGAATGGAACCTGAAAGGCCAGAAACTGGAATATACCCTGCCTCTTACAGATTCGGTTAGTCTATTTTAACAGGCACTTTGCGTGAAGTTATTTTACAGATACAAGTTGGAATCACTTTGGCAAATGGAAACTAAATTTTAATGTTTATGAGTGGTAACTCAAGACCACTTTTAGACCCCATTAAATTTTCTTGCTTCAATTTTAAACAAAATAAATTTGAAGCCATGTTTCCTCTTTAATTCTGCAAGAATTCAATACGCCACATGAGGCATTAGTTACGGTTGATCATTTTGAAAATACATTTTTTTCTTATTGTAGGTGTCTGTGCTCAAGGCTAAACTGAATGAAACCCTTGGGATGCCTGCAGGAAAACAAAAGCTTCAATTTGAGGTTGGTACTTGGTATTTTTTGTAAAGATAAATAGTAGCATTGTATCATAAGAGTAAAATAATATTTGGTTGTTAGCACACACCCCCACCCCTTCTATTCGTAACCTTTATATAATTAGCATTCAAAACTTGATAAGTTCAATACTTAGCCTAAGCATGATTTTTAAAAGATAATCTTCCCTTGTAATATTTATGTACAGGAACAAGTCTGTTAATTTTTATATGTTCACTGCAAAAATATAATTTTTTAAACTTTTTATCAGATGGGAAGAAAATTTTAAAAATGTATTACTATCTAACTTTACTATTTTTTCCCAGGGCATGTTTATTAAGGATTCCAACAGCTTGGCATACTATAATTTCATGAATGGTGCCACAGTACAGTTGCAACTGAAGGAAAGAGGTGGGCGCAAAAAGTAGATTTGTTGCAGTTGTCAAGAGGATTTCCAGTCAATGCTATTTGCTTTTACCTGTAGTTCAACTGTTGTTTTAAAACCAGACAACAATAAAATAATGTAACTTTCCTCTATTTTTTTTACATTGTTGTCTCAATGTTTTACTTTCACTATTTGATGCTTGTATTTTGGTCAACAGAAATTTGCAAATATTTACAGTTCACACTTTATGCAAATAAAGTTGAAATTCTAAACTGAAATTCTGCAAATTTTGTTTTGTGTTTTTATATAAAAAGATAAAGACTAAATCAAGATTGAACATAATTTATTGGCCCTCAAAAACATTCATTCTCAAATATTTATTCCTACATACTTGCAAAAATAAATTACCAGTACTGTAAAACACATTATTTGTTATAAAAGTCTTGGGAAAAAATCATTGCTAGCCAAAAACTATTTCTAAAGGATTTAATTTATTTATGAGACTTTTTCAATTAAGGTGTTTTACCAAGTACAATTGTTATCCAGGTAACATTATATATAATATTAATTATACACAGAACATATGCTTAATCAAAGCTTCTCAAAAAAGATTTAAAATAAATTTTTTAATTTCCTTTTTATTAGTAATGTGAAAATTTAGCAACGAGAAGCTCTTTTTAAGCATAATGTCAAATAAGCTAAGTATAAAATGATAATAAGATATACAAATTCATGAAGGAATGAACAAATGTACAAAAAGTAAGCTTCTGAAAGGTATATTTTTTATAGATTGCACCACTACGTGATGCTACACATGGTTTAAATTCTGATAAGTGGCATATTTTTTTTTTGTTTTGCATAGTGTGAATTTTCAATCTTTCATTGCAAATCAATTATACAATTTCCACAAAAAATATCCATTATTAGTGACTTTTGTTAGCTTTAACTTGAAGTTAAAAGTTTGAAAATTTGAGGGTTACTAATAGATTTACTGAATGCTGATTACTAATATATAAACTGAAGAAGATGTTTGACTTTTAGAAACAGGAACCAGTTCATTTTTGTCCACAAACTGTATTGGTAATGCTTAATAATAAAATGATAGCCTACCCACTATACGAACGGTACAGTAAGGAGAAAAAAAAGTCTTTTTTAATTAAAAAAAATTATATTAAGCCAATAAATATATATTATGGAATGACCTTTCAATTTATGCACACACATCTTTTTCACTTTGACTTTTTAACAAGACTGTACTAAATTTTTAAGAAATCTGATAAAAATACATTTAACAAAATCAAATTGAGTTGTAATTCAGAAAGCACGCAACATTTTCTTCATTAACAAGAAGCTCATTTAGGAGCATTTGATTCCTATATTTTTTTAAAATTTACATCAAAATTTATAATAATCATTGTATCAACAAAAGCAGTGCTAGCAAGATGATAATTTTATTTTGTTATCCAATTGCAGTGTTTGTCTGAGAAGCTCAGATCAAATCTGTAGCAATAATCTTACATTAGTTTTGTTGAATTGTTCGGAATATTCCTAGTTATAATACACAAAATATCCAAATTCTCTGCAGATCATGTAATATTTGAATAACTGAATAATTAGGTTACATAGTTAATATGTAGATCATTTTTTTTTAAATGTTTAAAAAAAAAACGAATCAAAGTTAATTTTGAGCAGCTTTTTCTTTCCCTTAAATTAAATATTCAGACCTGTTTATGTAAAGGTTGCCCTCAAGAGTATTTTGAAAGATAGAAATATCCCTTCTTCTAAAAGTCCCAGTTTTCAAAAAGGATAGTCATTAAATAATAAGATTTGTTTTAGCACACATTGTATTTCATACACACAATTTAAACTAATCTTTCAAAAAATATTCACATATTTAAATCGGTAATTAAAAATAAAAATTATAAAATAAGTTTCTATGCATGAGTGAACAAATTGTTTTTATTACACCAGTAACGAAGTTACTAGGAATTTTGTTTAAAGGCGAGAGCACATCACAAGATATATCACAAGAGATTTGCTTAGACCATGCTTTAGATATGTGGTGGAGATGAAAATGCAGCCCTGAGCACTGAACTAAAAATATGATTACTTGAAACTGCTAAAGTCTGCGGTCACAGTGGAAAATAAAGTTACGCATGTTACCGTCCATTAAAAAAAGAAAAATAAGAAGTTTAATTCCAAGAAAATATAAAAATAAATGTGGAACACTAGTGTGTTAATGTATTATTATTATACTGCTAAGATATAGTTTTAAGACCTAAACAATTACATAGATAAATCTATAAATAATATTAATAAAAGCATGATGATGATATAACACAAGCGGAAATTCTCACTTCTACAAACAACTGAAGCCCCCACAGCTCAAATAATCCCACCTTCTTGCAGAAGTTTAAAAAAAATTGCTGTTGGTTATGGTGAAGGGAGTATATTATGGCAAAAAAATACTTGAATGGTCAAACATTCAACACAAATCATGGAATTTTCTCCCTCGAGTAAAAAAAAAAAAGAAACAACCATTTTGCATTCTATTTACAAAAGCTTAAAATGTGCCAGATTAATTATTCCACACAAACCATAAAATTCACATTTGGATTAATTTGAAAGGGGATTTAACAGAATCAAATTCTAAAAACCTTAACATTCTTACTGAATTAGGTGTCAACCATAGGCATAAAATATTAGATTAACTATTTTTTTACATGTTTTAATGGGAAAATAGTTTTCTTTTTATACACATTTCTACCAATTGGTGTAATAAAAAAAAAAATATACACATTTAAGAATAATATTTATATTAACTGAGTGTCAAGTATTTTATTATATCTCCTCCTATATATATTCTTTAAATATTAAAACTAATACATTTTTAGCCTACCAATCTTTAAACTCATTTATTAGACATATGAAACTACTACCAATAGCTAATATAACATAATTCAGTCGTCTGAAATATTTAGAGGACTTTTATAATCCCATATTTCATCACAATTTTATTATTTGATGTATACATTTTCATTGCATCCCGGGCTTTTCCATTTTAAATACCCCAAAGAATAATAAAAATAAAACAGGTTTAACACTTGTGCATAAAGATGGTTCAGCGTCACTTTATCATGATGAAAAACGCAATGATGGAAATCGCATGTGGACTTTCGATGGTTTAATCTACTTTGACAACACTGTAAATCTTGGAAACAAACCAGAAGCACGCAAAGAAGCCAATGGATCCTGCAATGATAAAATAATTTATCAGTGAAATGAAACAAAAGTATTCATCTTTTAACACTTTAGGTATTACATGTGGCTTCAAACTAATACAACAGGTTCTTAATATATATAAAATTCCTTTTCATTTTAATTTCTCACCCCCAAGTTTATAAAATACACATATGTTTTTAAACCTTGTCCGTAAGATATTTTGTAAACATATCCATACATTGACTTGAAGCACTGAGAATCCACACACGTTAAAATAAGTCAAGAAGAAAGAAGAGCACCTTTTCTACACCTATTATTTATAGTAGGAATTTCAGGAATTGTTTTTTAATCAACAATTTCAGCATTTGTATATTTTACATCTTATATTTTAATTATCATAATCATATGCCTAAACGGTTCTGCAAAATGAAAGTAAATAGATAATATTAAATAATATAGTCCTTTTCTTTTATTTAACCCACAAACTATCGTAAACTGTTTTGGCCGACAAAAACAGCTGATAAAAATGCGTTGAAAGAAAAAGTTCCAGTCCAATATTTTACACCAAATAAAACTACTTCCTTTTAATATAAATGAACTTCCGTTTTTCGCTCTTCTGTGTCCTTTTATTAAACTTTGGAGTTATTTTTACAACGATCTTTATCAAGCAAATTTGTGTCAGTAGATTTTCGCGAAGTGGACAAGGCCATAGCTGGACCATCTGGCTCACAAAATAAATCAGTTAGGAATCTTTTTGATAATTCTTTTAGTTAATGACTTAAGTGATTCTTTATTTTTCTTTATTCTTGGTCACTCCAAGGTCACGGTCAGCGAGTATAAATATAAAAAAATAGCCAGGATCATTTCCCACACATTCAACTTTCAATAAATAAATACTTTATGGAGTCTAGCTATGGTATTTGCTTGTGAAAAATCATATTTTTCAAAGGCACCCAAAAAGCTCTAAATTGCCTGCACCGTACAGAAACATACAATGGACAGTTCGTGGGTTAAGATGGGCCCCCGCAAAAAAATGCATTGCAATATTTAAAAAAACAAATTTGTTGTTGTTCAGTAATCTCAAAAAGTAAAGGAACACACTTGTACTTCTTGTAGTAAACTTACCTGTAGTGATAAAGAACAAGAATACAATAATCCCTGTGTAGCCAAAGTAGAGAAATGTGTTGGTAAATCCACTCATCTCAAGTTTGGTAAAGAAGAAGTGGATGCAGTAGAAGAAAAAGTAAATGGCTGTGAACCCACTTGTCAGGAATGACCTCCACCACCAGTGATAGTCCTGAAAGAATACAATTGATAATATTTTTGTAATTAAGTGAGAAATTGTTTAAGCATTTCTGGCATTCCATCCGTCCCTCACTGATGACGATGGTGTAGACTTCATAGAATGAAATCTCAAGGCCTGGGGTTTTTCTTTAAGATGATTAGCTGATTCCCTAGACAGCAAATCGCCTCTCTCCATGCACTTGGATAACCCAGGGGAAATTCATTTTTGGAAGATACAGCTTGGCACCAGTAGTGTCGCTGGAGTTGCCAGAAGATTCATTGTGCCAATGTTATCTGCCTACGAGACTCATCCCTGGGTTTGAATTCAGAGTTTTCCTTCTCATAGATGAGTTGCCATCCATGGATAAGTCACATCCACCCAGGGTGCTAGTGATGTTTTCACTTGGCGAGGCTTTGGTAAGGACTGAGCTCCATCCAGGCCACAGGATTTTTGGATTAACTCAGTTTAGAATGTCCGGCCACCCAGCACCCTTGTTTATATATTACCATACCTTTATTACGATATTTAAGTATGTTGCTTAAGAAGTTAAGACTAATATAAAACAGTTATCATTGACGGTCTCAACTTTTAGTGCTCCAAGACATTAATTCTGACTCACTACTTACCTCTGCACATAGATGGAAGTAGCACAAGAGAATGGTTGCCTCACTGCAGGTAATGATCAGAATAATGAAAACCAAGAACAAGAAGCCAAACATGTAATATGTTTGATGAGACCTAGAGAAGACAGATATAAAGGAAATTCAAGCCTGCATTTCAAAACAGTCTTCATAAAGAATGCTAAATGTTAGTTAATCTTACAGAATCATTTTTGATAATCAAATTGGCTAACACTAACTAGGATTTTTGTAAAACTAAAAAGCATTATGTATACTGACCAAATGCTGTTAAGAATGAAAAAAAGTTGAATAAAGATACATCCAAAAGGCAAGACACCTCCCATGACAATCCCAGGCAAGGGTCGAGTGTACAATGATTGTTCAGGGATCTGACGAGGTATTTGGTTGGTACGTGTGGGATGTTCAATAGGCTGTAAAACAGTTGAAATAATAATAAAACTCCATTAAAGACTTTGATTATTGTAAAATATGTTATACTTAACTACAATTGGAAAACTGAAAAATAAATCATTACATGGTGAAAGTTCATTGTTTAATAAGTTGCAATGATAATAACATTTATAAAATGGAAATATAACAGATAAATTGGAAAATGTGATGATATAAAATAGCTCTATATAACTCAAAAGATTTATAACATCAACTTATTTCCAGTGAGATATTTCACCAATACAAAACTCACTATCAGATTATTTTTATAAGTGAGCAAAACATTTGGCCTTCTGAGGGTTAAATAACTTTTGTCTTAATTACATACCCTCTTTCTAAAGCCAAAGTAAGCGCCTACAAATGTCAGAGGCACTGATATTCCAAACCAGAGGGCTAAGAGTGCCACTAGAGTGGAGAAAGGGATGGCAGCAGAGCTACCTTTGGCCCACAAAACAAGATTCAACAGGAAGAAAACTCCAAACACTAAGCTGTTGAGAGAAAAAAGAAACATTAATTTTATCAAACTTTTGGAGAGAAAAAAAACTCAAAAGTATTTCAATTCTAATCAATAATATTGATATAATAATACAAATTTTATTCTCAAATATTATACAAGACTAAATTTAACAAAGTGAGATGGCAATAATGACCTTACCCAGGACAAAAAAAGGCAGTCAGGATAACATTTGACTTCCACTTTTCTCCTCCAAATGCTAAAAAACAAGACAGAAATTTTTTATATAATGTGACCACAAATTATTTAAAAATCTTTAATGCAAATTATTTTCACTTTAATTTAAAAACAGTATCAATATTTGAAAACTCCAAATGTTTCATTTATGAGTTCAAGTGTAATTTTTTTTTAAAAGAAAAGAAAGCTCACTTTTATACATCCTTGCAGATACGTATCCAGCAGGTGTGCCCAAGCAGACATAAAGTACCTTGAAATAGATAAGATACGAATAAATGAAGGGAGATGGCAATTTATATTAACATAGTTGCCTCCTATAAAACAGCTAAATTTATATTAACATTTTACGAGTAAAAATTAAAAATTGAAGTAGGAAAAGTTTCATTGTGCCAATGTTATCTGCCATCGAGACTCCATCCCTGGGTTTGTATTCAGAGTTTTCCTTCTTATGAATAATAATAATTAATATGAAAAAAGCTACATAAAAATATTTACCAAGGCACAGGTCATAAGAGCTCCTCTGTTTGCTGGTGACAAGAATCCCAAACAGGCAAACACTACAAAAAATAAATGAATTTATTTCACATTGCATCATAAGTAATTTATGGTGGACATTTTTCTACTCTTTAGTCAAAATAAAACAAGTTGTTACATTTTGAGATGTGACTGCACATTAAAATTAACTCACCAAGGGTAATGAGTGTCATGCAGAATAATTGAGCACCATTGCCCACGAGAACTGCCAGAAACATCCCTTTTCTGGGTGGCCTAAATACATCGCCATGGACTAACTTCCATCCAAACTCTTCCTGTGCATCTTCCTAAAAAATTCAACATATCGGTTTAAATAAAAAAACGATCACTCCTCAAGTTTAATTGACGTGTTCTTGTCATTTATTTTCAAAAAGCACAAAGATAAGTCAAAGAAAGATCATTTTATATGCTATAGCTATAAAATGTCAGTTGTCTGGGTTTTTGCAAGTTAAATCTAGGAAAAAAAAATACAACCATAGAAATATTCTTTTCATCTACAAAAATACACCAAGAAAGAATGGTATATTTAATGAAAAAATTAAAACCTACCAAACTGTCCATTTGGTTGTACCTAGCAATATCCTTGTGAAGAGTTCTCAGCATAATCATTGCGACCATTCCAGATAAGAAAACCACAATGACCAGAGAATTCATGATACTAGAGAGAAAATAACAAAGTTTTTACTTTTTTATAGAATGGGTAACAGACATTTAACTTGTGATAAGTGCAGGATTTCAGTAGAAATATTTTTAAAATAAATTTAAGGCTGCGACTATTCGCCACCTAGTCGCCACCGGGTACCAGAAGTGAGAGGTTGGGATTAAAAAACTATTTAAAATATTTTTGTTGGGTTTGTAAGACATAATGAGATATCAAATGAAAGGTAATTGAATGGACTATATGTTTGTACACTTACTTCTTCAGTTAAACTAAAATAAGCTACCACAAATGACATCCAAATATCATTGAGTCTAATGGTACCTGGGTGCAAATAGCCACGTTGTAAATTTAATGAGATGCATCATTGGGCATTATTTTAAAACATGGAATGCATGGAATTATGCAATAATAATCACACTTTTTAAATTGATTTAATTTTTTTTCTTCAATATAAATAAGCTGTGGAGCTCAGATCAGTTTTAGTTTTCTACACACCTGAACCATTGAATGTTGGTATGGGGCATTGAATCTAAGATGTAGTCCCAACGAGAGGTCCACTTGATTTTATCATTTGCCTGCAAATAACATATTTAAGTCAATATTTTAATTACTGAACATATAAATTTTGAAAATACATTATGTTAAAAAGTAAGGAACAACCAGAAATCGCCTCAGACATTAGCTCTGCCGAAAATCTTTTCTTTTTTTGAAGTATTCGTATCTGCAAATACTACTATTTCAATCGAGTCGTATCAGCTACTTAACACTAACTTGATATCTTCATGATATAACATTAGCTATGCATGCATTCTAACATGTTTAAATCCTTCCCAAATAGAACAATCAAACTTTTAAATATTTGTACAATTTTGGAAAAAAGGGGGGGGGGATTTGTGACGATATCAATTGCAATTTTTTTTTACATCAGATATTGAAGGTGATAGCAAATTAGATGTAATTATAGATCATTTTCTGGTTAATTATGTTGTAGTATTAGTAATACAGATTCCTGTATTTAAATTCAATTTCATCCAATTAGTTAGTTTACCATCTTTAACATTATTTTTATCTATACAGTCATGTGGAGAGAAGGTTTTTTGTTGGTTTTTTCCCAAAATCTATGCGCAATGTGGATATAAAGTGTTAAAAATAGGGGGCCGCATTATACGTGTATTTAAGAAATGTTTCATTACCAATAAAGGATACATTGTTATAGGCCTACTAATGCCTAGGCAACATTTTGACAATCGAGTGTGCTTAGTATCTAAACATAACACTAATAATGTTAGTAGCACTCCTTTGAAGGGATCTTTGCTGTATAGACATGACATCAGTTCATTTTAAATATTATAATAATGTAATGGTTTTGATATTTTATTTATTAAAAAAAATTATTTCGTTAATTTGTATTATATTATTATCAGTCAGATCAACATATTGAATTATAAGTAAAGATAGTATTATATGTGGAATGTGTTGTATTCTGTAATATACGGCAAGCTTCATCATGAATACTGCACAAATATGGCAAATGACTGCTAAATTTTTATATTTTTTTTAAATAAAAAATTCAGAAACTCATACTCTTGCAAAATATCAATAATTGATCATGATTAAATAAAATACTATACTAATTGAGTGTTTTTTTGTTTTTTAAGTAGAAAATTTTACAGCTGGCGAACTAAGCAGAATTCAATTTAATATTTTTAACAAGGAATTATTTTTCTTTAAAACCAGCATGACCTTTCTTAAAATGTTTAACCCTTTACGAGGCAGAGGGGCCAAAAACGTCTTTACCACTTAAAGGGCAAAACGCCCAAAAGCGTCCGTGACGACATAGTGTTGTTTTCTCGTGACCTCCGAGGCTTTGCGAGACTTCCTATTGTTTACATCCGGTTTTTCCGATAGCTAAATAGAGCCGGCGCCAGTTACAAGTATTTATTTGATTTTTTTGTAGTTTTAGGGGTTAAAAAAAAAATTTTCTATATGGATTTTGCAGATTATTTGCCTAATGTTCAAGAGATAGCGGAGATTTCACTGTATTCAATTTAAGTGACATTTAAGTGCACGAACTGACTGTAAATTGTAAGAATGTTGAATTTGACAAGCTTCGATTTTGTAGCAGTGTTTGTCAATAGTGAATAGATGACTCACAATCACAAATAATATGTTGCTTTTTGCAAATATGTGTGTTCATAATAAATCTGCATTCATTTTCCTTTATTTTGCTTTTTATTTCACACAAATTAGTTCACTAACACCTTAGATTTGATTTTTTTTGTAAAGTCACCCTAAATCTTACTAAAAAACAGAAAAGTGGTCCCCGTTCAGGACATGCAAGAGGAAGTACCACTGCCCCGTAAAGGTTTAACAGATCTAATTAAATATTTTTTTAAATATTTAATCATGATAATAAGCAGATGAGTAACTGACCTGCCATGTTACAGAATAAGTGTATTTGATTGTCAATGGTTTCTCTAATTTTGACCCTGGAATTCCTAGCACAGGAGCATCGGATGGACATCCTTCTTTTTGCTTGTGATCAATGCTAAAATTTAAAAAAAAATAGATAAAAATTATGCAGAATTAAATAATTACGTCACAAAATTACACAATAAAAGCAAATGTACGCAAAAGCTGTAACTAGGGCGAAGAACCTAAAATTACTGTTGCAGTATCCAGCAAGTTCATTTTGAAAACACAATGAAATAAAATAAAGATCTACCAAATTCGGCAGTGTAAAAGCATTAAAAATAATTTTAGAGACCTCCTCCCTTGTGCGTGACAATAAGCAAAATCTCCTAAATCAACACTAACCCCCTAAATCAGGCCTGCACAACTCAAAAGGAATACTTTATGAAAAACTTGTGCGGGCCAAAAGAAATTAGGAGAGGAATTGTGCGGGCCAAAAGAAAAAAGGACTGGGGGGAAAGCTATTAAGAAAATAATAAGAATAAAGAATATTTCGTTACTTCGCGGGCCGCAAAGTCGGTGCTGGCGGGCAGCATCAGGCTCCATGTGAGCCGTATGTTGTGCAGGCCTGCCCTAAATTCATACTTTACTCTGTTTTCACAATTATCATAGTTCAGAAGAAGAAAGAAATTTAGTTATGTCACAAAATTACGTCATACAGCACCATAGCAAACAAGCAAGCTAAATGTCTGTTGCCATATCTAGCAGGATCATTGTGACAACACAAAGCAACAATATGACAAACATAACTTTCCTAACAAATAAGCCAGTGATATGTTAAAGCCTCAAAAAATATTTAGACACATCCCCACCCATCCCTTCACATGCACACTCATATACGCCCAAGTCAACACCACCACATCCCCTCTTAGTGTGTACATAAGATAATTATTGATAGTCCCCAATTAATCATATTTTTATGTCCATTTACCACAGGATGTAGAAAGGAGCTAAAAATAACAATAGAAAAATGAAGTGTTTTTTTGTTGTTGATTTTTTTAAATTGTAAAAACTACTGGAATATATTCTTTCAAATCGGTCTCTAAAAACCTAGTTCAGACATGTCCCTGCATACAATCATAACAGACATCTCAAAATCATATGGTGAGACAATATCACCAGGTCTGAAAGACTCATTTGCAACTAATAACCTATTTTAAACAATTATCAGAGATGGTTTCAATATAAGTAATAAGAAATATCTGCTTTCAAATATATCAACAAATGCTTGCCATATCAAGGATTTCAATTTTGCTTTTAGAATATATGACATGAGCGTTAATGGGTTTATATTTTACTCAAATGGACAAATATAGAATTTATTCATACCTTCTAGGTACCAGCTTAGCTGCAACAATGCGCCCTCCAAGGCCTTGGTGTTGTTGTCCCCAATCCTCTTCTGATAAAGGATGATAATCAATAATAATATCTACATGGTTGTAGATGTAATAAGTGTCTGAGTCTTTGAAGTCAGCCTGAAACATGTTGGAAAATAATTTTGAATTAGCCAAAGACACTCCAGTGCAATTGAATAGTTATAATTAATTAGTATCCTATTACATTATTCCTTGCAACTAAATAAAAATGTATCTTTTTAATGAGATCCCCCATGATAATATAAATTTAAATTTCCAATTATTTTTTTTTAAATGTAAAAATTGTGCAATGAATGCATAGTTAAAATTAAGCCCTAGAGCTCTTACATGTCTTGGATAATCCTATTAGCTAATAGAAAATAAATAATGTACAAACCCGAGTTATACAAGTATCCTTTCTCTTGCCAAATTTGGTCACATAGCAGCCAATAGGGAAACCAGTTGAGCAATAAGTTTCACTTGATTCAACCTTGTAGCACCAAGTGATTGGCATGTTGTCTAAAATCCTGTTTAAAAATATATATATAAATTATAGTTAAATTTACTCATTTACTACTAAATTGAAAACCATATCTGAGCTAAATTAAATTAGGTTGCAACCAGTACAACTGAATTTTTATAATTTCTAACATTTCCAACAACAACATTCTACCAAAGATCTGAAAAACTAATTTTTCTCACAATTCCATAAAAATTAGAAGAGAACTGTATCAACTGACTGATTAACTGGAATTAATTTAAAGTTCAATTTTCATACCAATGATGCTGGTAGTTGAGACTGATGCCCCGCTTCAGAAAAGTAAGCTTTTCCATATTTTTACCATCTCCAGATTCATATTTTTTCTCACACACTTTCTGACAACTGAGATTTTCTGTGAAATTCATCTGGGAAAAAAAATATACATTATCACATTCTAACTCAAATGGCAATAATATTAATCTATGACTGTCAAAACAAGTGTAAAACTTAGCTCCTATATTCATCATATTTCCACCATTTCTGAAAACCAAATCATGATTATCTTAATAAAGGGTTCATGTTAACTTTGTTTTTTTTAATTAAAAAACATATCTACTCTTAAAAATATATTTCATTAGGAAACAATGGACTTACCTTGTACATAGATGGTCTTATCCTTTCACCAAAAACAACTTGACCCAAGTTCTCCGTTGGTGATGATGCAACATCTGATTCTGGCACACAAAAATCAAAACTGAAAATACAAAATAATTGAATGTGATAAATTTCAAACTTGTAAAAAGTAAATCATATTCATATAGTTAAAAATAGCTTTAAAAATGTTTATTTTTATAATATAAATATTTTTAATATAAAAATAGTTATTAGGTAAAATTGACATATATAATGTATATTATTATTTTACCTTGATGATTTATATGAGCTGACAATATTAAATCATCACAGGCTTTTGAATAATTTTATAGATAAAAATAAGGAGAAACAGAGATCTCATTTCAAAATTCTTGACCAAAACTAATGATATGACATATGTTATTCTTGTTAACGAAAACACTTTCACTTACTCATGGTATTCGTAAGGTACAATGTTCTCCACTGTGTTAAGTCTGTTTACATACACCATAATTTCCGTCTGTATTAAAAATATCATACAATAAAATGTACACATTGAAAAGCACACTTTAAACACGTTTTCAACTGAAGAGTGGAAAAAATATAAAGGTTAAGAGTGGAAAAAATGTAAAGGTTAAATGAAACATTTTTTTCTGCAATATCAAAAAGAACAAACAAGAATAGTTTCATATATTATAAATAATTTTTTATAACAATACATTTTTAGCCACAGTATTCTCTTCTGTTTTACAAATTTTAAATATCAGTTGTTCCAGGTTTATCAGTAGTTTGATTGTAAAATACTGATCTGAGCTTTTGTAGGCTCTTTTTAAAGTAATTAATCTAAAAGTTTTAAATATCGCTTTATATTTATATGCCTCCCTTTAATTATATTATTCTTTATACCCACCAATAAAAATAACTTTAACAAAAATTTTTATATCAATTATTTAATCATGAACCTTGTTTTCATCTAGATCTAATTTTTTGATGACAAGATATAAATTTGTAAGTAACATATATAAGCATACTAATAGTATGACTTAATTATTTGAATCAATATAAAATGTTATTAAAAAAAACACAATTTTGTATAATTTAAGTATGATGATTGCCCATGGCATGGAAATATCACTGAAATGTGAACAACTCTACTTTTCAACTTTATGTATTCAGCAGTATATTGAGAATATTAAATGTTTAGTTAAATTTTCATTTAGGCTTATTGGTAACTTATGCAACTAATTTAGTTGACCATGCTCAAAGTGATAGAATAATAAGAAGAATCACATTTTTGTTTCCTTTCAAAATTAACAAATAATTATTTGGTAAAATTAACATATGCATCTTTAACTATTATTTCACATGACGATTAATTTGACTAATTCTAAAGATGTAATAATATTATTGATTAACTTTTAAGCAGCTTCAGTTCTCACTACTTGTAAGAGCCCAATGTATGGAAACTTATTCTCACATATCATCCACAAAATCTCATAGCCAAAATGTTTTCCTTAAAAACCTTGCATTTCTCTCCCACATTTTCTTAACCCTGCTTCTCATTGTTTTCAGAAAAGATAGGAATATACAAGATTTCCTTGTGCGAAACCACATCCACACTACCCCTACCACTTTGGGACTAAGCTATATGGACGCAGCCATTGTAAAACTTCCCCCTTTGTCATTCAGACTCAACACACTCTCTTCCCTAAGAGTAGTTATCGGTTAAGGGACAGTTTCCGAGACGCAATATTATCTATGCCATTCTTTGTATCTGCTGCCATATGGTGTATCTGAGTAAGACTGGACTACGCCTCTTGGACATATGTACTGAACACCTTCCAAATATTGTGCAATAGTAGCAACCACAAGGGTTCCAGAGACCTGTCTATCACCACCATTGTCTTGTATCAACACGCCCACCAGAGAGAACTTACAGAACAAACTGTTTCAGACTTATGGGACCTTGACACTATATGGCATCCTTCCGTCTTCGCGAGACCTTGGAGTAGCTATGTAGTCCTACACTTCGACAAGTGGCTCACTAGGCTAATCCTAGAATGGCAATCTGGACTGCATTTCTCACAGGAGAATATTGATTCTATCATCTTGACTTCCGTATTGTTCTTTTTGTTGCAAGGGCCTCGTTTCGTATAACTTCTGCCTTTTTTACTCCTTCATACACTGCTGTTTGCCAGCTAGAACATTGTTTGGCAATGAGCTCCCATTCTTTGTTTTCAATATTGGCTTCCCTCATGCTCCTTTTGCAAACGTCCACAAATCTCAGGCATGGCCGTCCAATAAGTCTTGTCCCTTCTGCCAACTATCCATACAGCAGCATCTTTGGGATATGGCGTTCCTCTATTCTGCTTTAAAATTATAATTAATCGACCCATAAAATTTTAATTCAAAATATTCCATTGTCATATTAAGGAAAATTTAACTAGAACAACAAAAACAAGGGGAGTGATTGTAAATCCAAAACAGAAACTTAACAAAAACATGTTAATGGCGCAATCTCTTTGCATTGATCCAACTAATCGATGTGGTCGTATTTTCCTATTTTATGTCCCTTATTGCATACATTAACTCTCTTACCTACTAATGATCTATTACATTCCTCTTGTTGTCCCCCTGGACATTACATTGCTGTTAAGTTTTATTTTAACTTTTATATATTAATTTGGTAAAATGTCATGTAAAATGACAGAAATAATTATCAAGATTAGTACAGTATAATATGGCAAAATTTAAAAGTAAAAAATTAAACCCAAATCAACATCTTTAGTAGTTTTTCCAGGTATGAATTTTCTTTCTAAGTACAAGTTCGTTAGTCCAATTTTTACAGCCATATCTCCACATTTTGCAACCCATTTCCGCTGATTAGCAGCGGGGAGGCCTTTGGCTTTGGTCCGGCGTTACAGTTTTCCATGTCCATATCGCTGGACCGGCTCTTTGTGAGTGGCCGGTCAAGAGCTTCATGCTCAGTACTGCTTCTGCGGATTGTTTGTCAGGCTGCTTGCATAAAGCACTACAACTCTTGTCTTAATGTTAATTTTAGATGAATTTTATTTTCCGGATTAATATATACAAATTAAGTTATCACAGTTTTGGCATTCTGGTACTTCAATTTTCAACTAATCAAAACACAGCCCTTTTAATGAGCATCCCTATGTTTTTCTGCCATGTTCAACTTGGGGTATCAGCAAGGTTGTCTTTCTTTTTTAATTTCTTTTTAAATTTAAACTTGTAAGTTTAATTTTGATAAAAATGATGACTAATTTCATTATAACATACTTCATATTAACCGTATCAATCGTCATATTAAGTTTATGACCAACAATGAAGAATGGAAAAATTATCACAAACATCATTCAGGTCTAACAATTGGTCCATTCACTGTCAGTTGGGACTCTCCGATGATATGTCACAGCGCTTAGTTATAGTTTAGGTTGAGAACCATGCCACTAACTCAAATTTACTGGGGCAGTAATTTTGGCTACTAACTGCTGTTGGCAAATATCTTGGCCCACCCCAGGTGGAACTTAAAGACTAAAATATTGATATAGGCTAAGTACTTTGGTATTCAAAAAATTTTAATTTTAAAAATTATCAAGGTAATATAGTAATTTAGTAATTAGTAATAGAGTAAAATAGAGCAAAATAAAAAACAATCAACTTTCTATCTTTAGTAGTTTCTGAGCCATGAATTTTCAAATAATTATACAATTATAGATAAATTGTAGCTTATTTCATAATGCACAATTAGTACTATTACTTGACTTTAATTATATAATTATGATATTATTATATAGTGGGGCCTATCACTTCTACTTCTATTAGTGTTAATTTAATATGAACCACTGTCACAAAAAATTCGTTTACTAAACTAATCTTTACATTAATTTGCATGTATTTCGTTTTTGAATCTTGTAAACTTTTGCTTAATATTACTTAGTAAAGCATAAATAATTACTTCGACTTCGTGGGAAGTTTTAAGAACTATTTAAGTTATCGACGACATGACGTAGGTATCCTACCTGACAATTCTTGTCTTTGCTGTTTTTGTTAGTTTCTGCCGAACAGTATGTCACTGACGCTAGACCAGGTAAATAAAATGCATTGAGCATCTGCCAAATACTGGCAGCTAATATAAGCTTAAAAGCAAACATGCTTGAATAAATGGGATACCAATTTAAAACTATATTTTTCTATCCAGTTAAACTATAAAATTTTATACGTTAGGAAGTGGCTGGGAACAAACACGTCATTTGATGCATTTCGGGAAGACATGCAGGGGAAATAATGCTTACTAAAAAATATATTTTATTGGAAGCACAAAGGGTTCCGTAACTTGCGTTCTTACTCTTTTAATAAATTAACTTTTATACAATTTTAACGAAATGAAAAAAAAAAATCTAATTTTATCAATGAGAGTTTTAAAAAAATTAATCAATTCAATCTGATACATTTTCTAAATTATAATTAAGAACTTGTGAGTTAACTAGGACAGAATCATTTAAAATTTATTATTTAATTGTAGCACTCTCTGAATTGTGAAACGATTTCTCAAAAGGAAAAAAAAAATCATTTAAATGCAATATCTAACATCAGTATTTCTTTTCATTAAAAAAAAAATTGTAGTTTAAATATGTCGGTTATAATTACAAGTCTCTTCTTCCCCTAAATCCCTGATATACCTTTTATATGTGCTTTTTTGGAGCGGGCTATCACTTCAAAGATATCTAAATTTAATAGGTCCTAAATCATCTCTAAATATCATGTTTGGTCTTATACTAGAGACTGGAATCGAAACGAACACATCGAAATCGAACCCTGCTGACGACTGAACCAAAACTAACCGAACCCGAACTTCAACACCACTTTGTACGAACCGAACAGAAGAAACCTAAAGACACTATCAGTCTCTAGAAGTTGTACTCCTCTACACTACCAATACGAACTGCATGGCCATATACTTGAGCCAGTTTCCTCCGTAAAGTACCTGGGTGTTACCATTTAAAGAGAGGTACGCTGGGAAGAGCATATTAACAATGTATGTAACCAAGCAAACAAGACCCTAGGGTTCTTAAGGCGAAATCTAAAGATTGGCAACTCCTGCGTGTAAAAGAAAGAGCATATAAAGCATTTGTCCGTCCGGTTTTAGATTATGCATCTTCAGCCTGGGACTCATTTACCCAGAAGAGCGTTGACAGGTTGGAGGCGGTCCAGCGACGAGCAGCACGCTTTGTCCTAAACCGCTACAGGAACACCTCTAGTGTTGGCAGCATGCATGGTGAAATTCCATGTCCCAGCTCATCTCCCACTCAGCTAACAAATTGAGATCCTGTTGTAGCTGGTCCTGGTCAGATCTGTTGGCGATCGTCCTATACACCGCTGTGTCATCTATGACAGTTACAGAAATGTATTCTATTATGTTTCATGGTGTTTCTATATAAACGGTCATGTTTTCAAAGTGTAATCTTTGTTTTACTCTCCTTTGATTCAAACCAATCTCATTTCACATTGTGATAGTGACCGAACGCGTTCAATTTCAGTGATCACCGAACCGAAAACGAACTTGAGTTGTTAACTGAACTTCTAAAAGAGGGTTCAATTCCAATCACAAGTCTCAATTGAACTCCACCGAACTTATATGTTGTTACCAAACTTCTAAAAGTAAAAGAGGGTTCGATTCCAATCTCTAGTCTACATTCAACGAAACCACCGTTCCCAAATTCACACGCACAGCATTGGAATAGCTAGGATTAAAGCCTGTCGTGAGGCTTGCCAAGAATTTTGCCGCTATCTCTCTCTCCGCTACACCCTCCACCCTATTAAAAAAAAACAACACAACTCTGCAGTTCGCCCCCAAATTCTGCCCCTCTATATTTATATATAAAGTTCCGCCAGGTCCTGCCACCACAGGAAGAGGCGTCTCCCCTGCACGTGCCAAGTGGGCCCTGTGACCCCTGCGACTGCATGAGGCCGCGCATATTTATGGAGCCCTACGTGGTGATGTGGTCCAACTATTTAAATGTCAACCTTGCAGGGGAGCACAAGAACGCCTCTGGCACGCACCCTTCCTGCGCTACCTTCCCTAACTACCCGATTCCCGATCTCATGGCTTCGCAGTTCATTGCATCCAAAAGTCATCATAAAGTTGTGCAGGATGTCATTTACTCCTATGTAGGATGAGAGGTGTAGCTAAGGGGGGCAAGGGGGGTGGATGTCCCTGTGCGCCAGACTAGTTAGGGGCGCCAAAATGTGCTTTGATATTATTTTATTGATGAAATAATGGGTTTGAGAGTTAAAAAAAGAAAGGGAGTCTCTCTAAAATGAATTTTGTCCCCGGGCGCTAAACACTGTAGCTACGCCTAGCGAGTGAGTAGTCACTAGGTCACTATGACATTTGTTACAGATCCATGTAATACATCGTGGAACTCATCAAAATGGAGTAGTGGCCAGCAGTGTCGTCATTTCAGAAATTTATTCAGGGGAAAGGGGGGGGGGGCGCAAAACCTAAGTTGTTTATTAATAGAGGCGCCACAGTACATAGCAATTTAAATAAAACTTACTAATTTATTTATTTAGGCATTTTTGTATAGCGCTTACCTTACAGCTCTAAGCGCTTTACAATTATTAAAAATATGTAAACTATTTAAACTGCTAAAGTAAAATAAAAATGAAAAACCAGAGACACTAGAATAGTAACTGCAATGTGAAAAATGACTATAGAAACATTAGATTAAACATTAAAATGGCTATAAAAACGAGTACACTTTGGCACGTTTTGGCCTATACTACAGGATCAACCCGAGACAGAAAATGAGGCAGGGCAAGGAGGGTGCATCACAGGTCATAGGCGAACCTAAACAGATGGGTTTTAAGGGACTTTTTAAAATGGACGAGGTTTCACAATGACGGATGTGGAAGGGGAGCTGGTTCCAGAACGTGGGCCCATGGAAGCAGAAGGAGCGTTCACCGATGGTCTTAGTTTTGGTTCTTGGGATTGAGAGGGTTCTACTGTCAATGGAAGAACGTAGTTGTCTTGTGGGGATGTAAGGAAGCAACAGTTCAGAGAGATAGACAGGAAAGTGAGGGTCAGTGAACGAGTTGAAGCAAAGATTGGAAGACTTGTATTTGATGCGAGAGGATATTGGAAGCCAGTGGAGTTGCCGCATGTGTGGTTGAATGTGGTCATGTTTCTTTGATTTAAAAATGAGTCTGCATGCTGAGTTCTGTGCCTTCTGAAGTTTGTCTATGTGGTGTTGAGGAATGCCTGCGAGAAGAGTGTTACAGTAGTCAAATTTTGAAAGAATGAGAGAAGAGACGAGAGTTTTTGTGGCATCAAAGGAGAGGAGGCGTCTAATGGTGCTGATTTGTCTAATTTCGTTGTATGCTGATCTACATATGTTCGTGACATGTTTGTCCATGGAGAGGGTGTCTGTAAGCGTGACTCCAAGGTTTCTGGCAGAGGAAGAGAGTGTGATAGATAGAGTTGCCGATAGATATAGAAGAAGGAGCGGATGGAGGGAGAGGTTTGTTTAAGAGTGGATGAGAAGGATTTCCGTTTTATCATCATTTAGCTTCAGTTTGTTGCAAGTCAGGGGGAGGGGAGCTAATTCCCCTCCCTGCCCTACCCAAATGACGTCCCTGGTGGCTAGCGTGTGTGTCGCCAATCAAGTAACAGCCAGTTCGGATCTTGTTGGTTTTAGAAAAATAAATCAATGTATTGGTCTATTTTTAGTACCATTTTGACTCTGTCACTAATGACTGGGGCGGGGGTTAACAACAGAGCTCCATTGTTCTTCAGATAAGTTATGGGGCAGGGGCGGAAATTGCTGTGAATTTGAGGAGGGAATTGATATCTTTCCAAAATATAATGTTTCGGACCTTACAGACGTCGCATGATAATTTTGGTGTTAACGACGAAAGTTTTTAATTGACCGGAAATGAGGGGGGTATGGATGGGTTAATACCTATCATTCCTGGACCACCAGGAAGGCAGAGAATGGTATATAAGATAGAACTCTTCGTGACATAATATAAGGAGGGTTAGAGATTCGTGGACGGTCATTGTGAAGTGGTTGACGCAGCGGTACTAGACATAGTCGAGGATAGAACTAGTAAAAGGCCATTTGTCGTTAGGGGCTAGAAAAAAGACTTTGCTGAATTCGCTAAATTATATTCATCAAGACATCTTTTATCTATAACTTTTTCTGAGGAGTTGTTTGATCATTCTTTAGTGTTCCGTGTTTTCTTCGTTGTATTTCTCAGCGCCTGGACTAGTGAACCTTCACAGAGAGGAACGGCCCCCGTACACGTCACAACAACACCCCTTGGTGCGTGGCCATAAGTGCGGGCCATGCCTGACAATACCATTCCATCTGTGACACACACTGCTGATGGCCATCTGTGACACACACCGCTGATGGGAGCTCGTCTAAGAGAAGGAAACATCTAACTACAGATCTTTATAATTATTAAAACCCGACGCCAAACCGGTCGTCAAGGCTTCGTAGCTGGATGAGATCTCCAGCGAGATTAAGATAGAGATGTAAAAACCGAATTTTTATTTTACATATCGGCTTCCGGTTTCATTAAACAAACTTGAAAACCGGATTTTGGGTTCTACAAAACATTTTAAATGTCTGCAGAACAAGATAATATTTTGACATACTATTATGACCTCTCAAGTGGAAGCAGAAATCTATTTTTAGAAAAGACAAGGCACATTACACTTTTGTTATCACATTTGATTCAGCATATCACCCACCACACCAAATCCCAGGACTGCGTGTGGTAGTTGCCACACCGAACTGCAGGACAGCGTGTGATAGTTGCCACACTGGACCCCAGGACAGCATGTGGTAAATGCCATACAAAACCACAGGACAGCGTGTGGTAGTTGCAACACTGAAGCCCAGGACAGCATATGGTAGTTTCCACACTGAACCCCAGGGCAGCGTGTGGTAGTTGCCACACTGAACCCCGGGACATCATGTGGTAGTTGCCACACCAATCCCCAGGACATCGTGTGGTAGTTGCCACAGCAAACCCCAGGACATCGTGTGGTGGTTGCCACACCGAACCCCGGGACATCGTGTGATAGTTGCCACACCAAACCCCAGGAAAGCGTGTGGTAGTTGCCACACCAATCCCCAGGACATCGTGTGGCGGTTGCCACACCAAACCCCGGGGCATTGTGTGGTAGTACTACACCCCACTCCAGGACATCGTGGGGTAGCAATTTTTTTGCCCACACATCTGATGGTAGTTGCCACAGCAAACCCCAGGACAGCGTGTGGTGGTTGCCACACCGAACCCCGGGACATCGTGTGATAGTTGCCACACCAAACCCCAGGAAAGCGTGTGGTAGTTGCCACACCAATCCCCAGGACATCGTGTGGTGGTTGCCACACCAAACCCCGGGGCATTGTGTGGTAGTACTACACCACACTCCAGGACAGCGTGTGGTAGCAATTTTTTTGCCCACACATCTGAACTGACTTCATGCTTGAACACACATGCTTTGTACATCAAATAAATGTTGTCATACTTCATATTATTATCAGTGAAGTAGCTAGCCTGAGTGCCGCGCAGGCACACCAAGTTTATTGCCGCTGCCTTCCATGAATAAGAAAACCTCAGCAGTTAGCCAATATACCGCCCCTCCATATAAAGAAAAACGTGCCACCCTTCGGCTGACCACGCCTCCGCACTCCCTTAAAATTTTACCCCCCCCCCCCCAAAAAAAAAAAGAAAAAAAAAGAAGTTAACGTCTCATTTTCTATAACGTGTGTCGGCCTATACCTATAGTCAGTCCTACACCTTAACTGCCGACCTTTAAATATTAGACCTACAAAACGTCCTTCGTACAGTCCTACAGATCGTCCTTCTACAGTGCAGAAAGTCCTACAAAAATTCCTTCAGACAGTCCTACTGTACAGACAGTCCTACACCATACCCGTGGCTCGTTATTGATAAATGTAAGGGTCGCCTCCAAAAACATTCAACCTCCTTACCTGAGTTCAGCCGTCACGCAGCTGGGCAGCTTTTTTCTTTCACTCAGCGCTATTAATATAAAACATGTTGAGTAGACGGGAGGGCCGGTTGCGAAAAGGAAGCAGCCACGCCACAAGCAAAATATATATAAGAGATGTTTACTGCAGATGATCAAAAGAAGTTAAAGAACACTTGTTAACAAACAGGAGACTACACACGTGCTAAGTTAAAACAAGAAAAGCCAGACATCTATTTTTGGAAGCCCCTTTAAACCGTGCGGTATGGTTTGACACGCGATGCAGTTACTACTTTGCGCACTAATTACTGTTACTACTTTGCGCACTAACTACTGTTACTACTTTGCGCACTAACTACTGCTACTACTTTGCGCACTAACTACTGTTACTACTTTACGCTCTAACTACTGTTACTACTTTGCGCACTAACTACTGCTACTACTTTGCGCACTAACTACTGTTACTACTTTACGCTCTAACTACTGTTACTACTTTACGCACTAACTACTGGTACTTTATCATTCTGATTGACTTTTTAAAAATTATAAATTTAAAAAATCTGTAATCTGTATCCAGATATCGAAAATCAGCGACCGGTTTTAGGTTTCACAGCGAAAAAAAAACAGTTACTCCCCTTGGATTAAAAACGACAGATGCCAAAGAATAAACACGCACATACGTGTATAGGCTTTCAAAAAAAGGTGGTCGGATTGTGATATTGTTCCAGTTGGTTTAAAAACAAATTAAAACATATTATTCCAGCTGGGTGGGAGACTGTGCAGGCTGAAAAGAAAGTGGAGAGAAATATTAATTCGTTTCTTTGGACGATACGTTGTGTGTGTTCAACATTTTACGAATTATGCACGAAGAAATGAAAAACCCCGTACAAACAGCGTTTTCCCCCAAAAACCTTTATAAAATGTGATATCGAGCAGTGGGGGGGGGGGAACTGAACATTTGACAAAACATGCATACAACGCACTTTATAAGAATCCCAAATAGTTCCCCCCCACCCCCACCAAGACTCACAATCGCACATTTTTTCACGCCCCTGAACTATAATAGTAATTATTCCAATTGTCACCCACTTGTACACTGAATATTTATTTTCGCGAACAATTTTTTTTTTTTTTTTTTTTTTTAAAGTATTACGCACCAAACGCACCTGCAATATTTTTGTTTAGCGCAATTATCTTTTATCTTCATCTTGAAACATAGGAAACACTGATTTGTGGGGTTTGGTGTTGAAAATTTGATAGAATGTGTTGTCAACGGCAACGAGTCCATGTGCCAAGTTTCATCTCTCGATAGCCATCCGAAGATTTGGCCAGTCCGCCACCCAGCCACCCACGAAACAAAAGAGAAGGATTTAAAACAGCATTTTAAAAAAAAAAAAATGTGTACATTCTTTTGTCTTCCAACATTATGTGTATAATCAGTGGCAGCGTCCAAACAGTTCCCGCGAAATGGTTCCTAAAAGTATACTGTAATTTGGCTCGTTTGTTCAAAAATACGTAAAAAGGGTTGAAAATGGTCTACAAAGAAAAACGACACCAAAGCTAGTGATAGTATCGATATTTCTCTCAATAGTATTTCCGAATAGCATTGAGTCAAAATGGACCCAGACACCCAGCGCCGCCATTCGCACCCTGGTACCATTAGACTAGGGTGACCAAATCATGAACTTGAAAAAACGGGACACGCCCAAGAAGGGTTTGGGGGAGGGGGGTCCAGGGGTCTCCGCCGGAAGCTGTTTATTGAAATATGTTCATTTTAATTATTTTGAGAATTAGAAATCTTTTTAAATTTACCTTCACTTTTTTAAATTTAATTTAAACTCTGAGGCATACCATAAAAGAAAAGAATAGTTTTTGCAGTGAATAATTATTTTTTTTATATATATTTACAAAGTAATGCAACACAACAAATTAAATTTCTCTAGTCTAGGATTTAAATTGAGGATATTTGGCTGCTGTCCCAGCCATTGATAAGACCTCCTTCTTATCTTATATGTGAAAATGGGTTTGGTTTTAGAAACGGGACATTGAAGCGTCCCAAGAGACTTTTTTTCGGGACCGCGGGTACGATCGTGAAAAAACGGGACAATCCCGTTTTTACGGGGAGGTTTGGTCACCCTACATTAGACTCAATGCTATTCGGGTGTCATTTGTGGTCGTTTATTTAATTTAACTGGAGAAGTAGGTTTATAAACATATAGCCCATTCAATCATCTTTCATTTGATACCTCATTTTGTCTTACAAACCCAACAATGATATTTTAAATAGTTTTTTAATCCCAACCTCTCACTTCTGGTACCCGGGTGCGAATAGTCGCAGCCGATTTCCAATCAATAAATTTTCCGTTCCACCAAATTTCAGTGCGACCGAATTTCCGTTCGACCAAATTTCATTTATAACTATTCCCGGACACGGTTTTATTTATGTGCACACTTGTTACTTTTTGTGACGTCATTTACCAGAGTTTTGCAGAGAAAGAGGTGGGAGGGGATGTGGGCATGAGCATTGGGGAATACGGAACAAATAAAAAAAATATTTGCGTGTGTTTGATTTAAAGGGTTAAATTGAAGATTTGTTAAGTTATAAAGATAATGTTTATAATTTTAATCAACTACAAAGTCTTTTGTTTTTTTATTTCGAAAACAAATAAATTGAATAGTAGAACCGCAGAAAAATGTTCGTTGTATGTTACAAATGCTTTTATTGTATGTTATTTTTAAACGAATGACGACAATTATATTTGGGTTTTAAATTATTTAATATCATTTATGCTCAATAAATAAAAAATACTAAAACAGCATGGATATTTTAAATAATCTTTAATAATGGACCGATAATACAATTTAAGTGTTAAAATAATTTTATTATCCATAAGGGTGCGATTTTTTTAACCAATAGAAATCCGTCTTATATAATTCGCCAAAGCATGACCAAGGCAGACATTTCTAAGGGGTGAAAGTAGCCTTTAGAAAAACGAAGTTTTAAATTTCTGTTATTTTTCATTGAGTCAAAGAATACATTGAAAAAAATAAATAATGAATCTAGATCCGTCAGGTAAAGCTAGAACGGTTATGTTCAAGAACAAAGGAAAAGATGCCGATGTAAGTATATAATGTATTCATTTCAGTGTCCACCTCACCCAAAATGACTAAATTTAGTTGCAGTTGAGTAACAATAAATCAATTACAATTACCCTTTTGAAGGCTTCTCATTGATAATAAACAACATTCACACCTTTACAATGTGAAGCACATGAATTATTCTAGTATCTCACATAAACTAAGCCATTTAGGCTTATAATTAATACTTGCTACACTTATTTGTCTCGTGACAAATTAAAATTAGAGGATTAACAGTTAACACTACCTGCGAGTGTTCTGATCTGAGTCTTGAGACCCACCTTGAGTGTTGTGTTTTCAATTGTAGTTGAAGGAAAAACTTTTATATTAACAGTGATTTTAAATGTTAATATATATATTTTTGTTCTGCTTACCCTGTGTTCACGACTCAGACCTCATCACTTTACTTAACTTTTTAATTTTAAAATTATAATTTATAAGTTATTTATTTAGACAGTCCTTTGTCTTTACTGAGACTTTACTCCATAATGATAATGTCATAATGCAGGTACTTGAATACAAAATTTTAAAAAATTGAAATAATTTTTTTAATAACACAGAGCTAATTTCAAATAAAAAAATGAAACCAGAATCAACTTTTTGAGCTACGAAATTTTAAAGTGTGAGTTTGTTTGTTTTTTTTTACTATGGACGAAACCTCCACATCTTTTGACCTCATTCCGCTGATCGCATCATGCGCAGTGACTATATACTTTATATAAGGCAACGCATCGCCTTATCCCTAAAATACTGTTTAGGGTCGACTTAGTTTAAACTTTAAACTTTGCCACATGAATAATTAATTAAAGCTTTTCCTGATCAATGGTATAATAATTTTTGCACATGGCAAACTCTTATGAATGAAACTCTGAAGTAATACTACGATACAGCCATTATGCAAGTGGCTGTGAATGGTTGCCAATGACAATGTGTTTCACACTGTAAATTCTGATCATTTATAATATGGACTCAACCGGGTTTTTAAAGTTCAAACTAATACTAATACATTCCAGTTGAAATGTCTTCAAAATGCATTCTGAAACACAAGTTATCAAATATTTTGATGTAAATAGTGGTAATAAATTAATATTTCCTAAGTATCGGCAACTTCCGCCATTGAAAAGGGGGCGTGGCCCACCCCATGGCCAAATCAGGTTGAGGGAACTGCATGACCTGCTGCGAACGCGTAGAAACATGGCGTCTCTCGTAAAACACATATCGCTGTGAAAATTGGCATACATGTAATGTAGATCAATACATTCCCCAGATGCAAAAAAATTTGGTAGTGACAAATCTTTTACTTCGACTTAATTTTAATGATGAAAGTTGCCTTATATTTACCAAGGATTTTCTCAAAGCTGACCGATTGTAAATGAAAAAGAAATTGATTAAAATGTAGGCCAAGATGTCCTCTTAAGCGAAAGGCTGGAAGGGGAACACAATTCTGGGATATAGTAATTATTTTATGAATGAAATAGTTCCACATCAAAAAATAAAAAACTCGGATTTTCGCGCGCCGACACCTATTTCCCATACAAATATTTTAGTAGTCTCCCTTGGTATCGAAGTCCCTACATAATGGTGTTCAACTTGACTTCTTTCGTTTACTTTTATACTTTCTCAAAATCAAGTCATTCACTGAATCAGATATCTTTCTGACTCAATGAGGTTTGGTTAACTACCGCCCGGTGTTTGTCACTTCTTATTTATATTATTAATATTATTATTATTATGGCCTGCTAGTAAATATTGTGTGAGTTAATTAAAATAGGCCAGAGAATGGATTTATTTATTTTTAATTTTATCAAAACAAATTTCACACTCACACACTTAGGCAGTAATGGTCATTGGAAAAATATGGGGCTTTTCTATAGTTTTTCATTTGCACACTGCTTGTTGGCTGACCTCTGATGTGATGGCAGCGCCTGACTTCTGGCCACTTAAAGCAGTAATGGTCATTGAGAAAAATAGAGGGCTTTTCTAGTCCAATGCCTATAATTTTTCATTTGCACACTGCTTGATGGCTGACCTGATGTGATGGCAGTGTTTACACTTGTATTTTAGCACTGTTCTGACCTTGTCGAATGATAGAGAGAATGCAGTCTTTTCATGACAGTTTTGGTGAAAAGGTCTAGATTGATGACTAAGGGATGAGGGGGAAAGGGGGCAACTGGTTGTAGCTGCTTCTTGCTGCATGTTAGAGGGTTTCAATAAAGACTGAAGTTTAAGTCTAAAGACAGTTGCTATGTTCACCTATGTTGTTTAGACAACACGCTGGAAGCCATGTATATAAAAGTAGTTCTCAACAACATGGCTTCCTTATATAATACAGAACTATAAGAATTTACCCCAGTATCTATACCCCTCACCAAATTTCAATTGTCTCCTCCCCTCGTATCAGCTATATTTTATGGTTTAAAAACCCATTTCAAGCACTCACAACATACATTTAGGTTCTCTTTTAAGCCTAAGCTATATGTAATCTGTCCAGGCGTCATTGGCGTTAATAATAATACTAGGCTAATGACTACTCCACTACATTACATGACAATTAATGTTGTGAATTTGGTTTTTTATTTTTTTGTTAACAGATTATCAGTTGCAGAAATTTGTTTTATTGCCCCCTTAGAAATACGTTAGGGACTTACATATAAAATTGAAAACTCCGAGGGAAGATATTCCCTGTCCTGTTTCCCTAATTTAAAAATCATTATTTTAAATGATTAAATATAGAGTTTAAACTTATGCATGGTCACTGAAAACACTGAAAAATATAAGATAAGATTACTTTTATTGATCCAAATAAATGAAAATGAGTCTTCATTGCATTATACTTTCACTTTCAGCATATCAATTTAAAAAAAAATACACTGATAAACATTAACATAAGATCTTTTGTTTTAAACCTTTACTTACCTATTGACTTATATGATTTTGTGACAGCTGGAGAAACTTAATACATTCTAACAGATTGGGGAACAAATTGTTAATCGTCCTAATCAGGGACTGCTTCTCAAAAATATATATATTTATACCCAAATTTTGGATGAAACATTGTAACTTTGGCACCTTCTAAAGAGGGCGCCCAATGCAGGCTCACCCTTTAACACCCCCCCCCCCTTTTCTTTTTCTTCTCCGTATGTCCCTGGATGTGAGGATCAAATGTTCAGTCTAATGGACTGTTATTTCTTGAACTGGTAAAAATCATTATGGTTTACCCAAAGATATGCTCCATGCCCCACCTAGTCACTTAAAAATTAAGAAGTTTCATGTTTCTCTAGCGGAGCAGCTAAAATAAGAAAGACATCTTGTCCAGCTCTGTTTGAAAACCCTATCTCTCAGTGTTAATATGTCTCCCATAATCTTAAGATTGGCCCCCAGTGGTGTGCAAACCCAAATATATATATAATATTGTTCGTCAGAAAAAATCGACAATGACCACAATAATCATCCTATATGTGAATTGTGAACTTGTCTCATCAGCTATCTGCTCAGCCACTGTGTAGATCCTAAACTGCAAAACACAACCTTAAATGATTTGTGATTAATGTTAATTTTTATCATATGTTGTAATTTATTATACATTATATAAAATTGTGTACTAAATTAGGCCACCTCAATTTATAATTAGACTCCTATAATAGGCATTTCAAAGCTGTATACAAATTAATTAATAAGTTGCAGATTAATCAGTAATCTGCCAATAATCTGCCAATGTGTTAATGGGTGCAACTCTACTTTAAACTTCGAAAAAAAAATTCTGTGAAATTTAGGTTCCTGAAACAAGCCTCATTTAGAGTTTGTCATACCAAACCCAGAGTACTGAATACAAACCCATATAGGGGATATATTTTATTATTCAACAAAATAAAATAAATGAAATTGTGTCTACCCACTCTGTTATCTGCGAGTTTCTTTCATTAAAAATATAGCACCTGCACATACAAACATTTTGTACCGGAAGTCAGCCTTGTGCCAATAACAATTACAATTGTTCAGCCATTTTCATTTCTTTTCAAAATTTTATACTGAAAATAACATTGTGATATTGCCTATGGAGATCTAAAATTTTATATTTATACATTTTGAAGATTTATAAGTTATATTTGAAAATTAAAAAGATACCAGCTATTTCAACTGTGAACCCTAAGACTAAGAGCCGCAGTGAAATTCAAAGTGAAGAGAAGAAAGCCTTGATGTTAAAATAGATAATGTGATAGTGAAGATGTTAAAAGGGTGTTGAGCTGGAGAATCCTACATTAAAATATTTATTGCATTTTTAGGTTAACTATTTAATTATTCTATCTTCTTTTATTTAGGAAATGCGACGTCGGAGAACAGAAGTTACAATTGAATTAAGAAAGGTATTTCTAATAATAATTTTTTATGAATCTTTTTTGTTGTGTTTTTTTTTTGTTTTTTTTGTTTGTCAAAACATAGGTCATTAAGAAATGTTTTAAGTGACTTCATATATTTACAACATGGAATATAATATTTTGGTGTCTTTATGTTTTCAACTAGAATAAAAGAGAGGAACATATGTTGAAGAGGCGAAATGTACCCACTCAAGATAGCACAGATTCTGAAGATAACGAAAAGCCTACCACTCAATCTTTAGAGTCTATTGTTGCCAATGCAAACAGTTCAGAACCAGAAATTCAGTTAGGAGCTGTGCAAGCTGCTAGGCAAGTTATACAATATAAATTTTGGGTACAAAAAAAGTCAAATATAATTATTAAGGGCATATCCTATGTGTTGATCTATGGGTAAAAACAATTGCTTTGGTTCCCAGACATAAACCAAGATTATTAGGAATTTTAACGATTTTTTGTATTAGGCTTATAATTTTTATGTAGTTTAGAATACATATTTCTGCTAAATTTTTGTTTGTAATTTATCAATTATTTTGTAAAATCACCAGTTTTTAATGCAGTCATGATAGTCAATTGACGATTTCTATTCTTCATACATTATCTTTTGTCTTATACAATTTCAGAAAGTTGTTATCCAGTGACCGCAATCCTCCAATTGATGACCTTATTGCCTCTGGTATTCTTCCTATTCTTGTCAATTGCTTATCAAAAGATGACAACCCTTCTTTACAGTTTGAAGCTGCTTGGGCATTAACAAATATTGCTTCTGGCACATCACAACAAACACAAGCTGTTGTAAATGCAGGTAAATTGTAAACTTTTTTTTCTTCAAAATATTTTACTGTTGGTAAACTACAGCATCACAGAATATTTAGTGTAATTTGAATTTAGCAGTGGTTCTGGCAATATCTGACAGGTAATCATTTTAAATGTGTATTATTCAACATTTGTTGCAGATTAAAAAAAATTTTTTTCTAAAAGTTATAAAAAATTTTTTTTAAACATGAAGATGCATCAAAGAGATATTTTATATCACTATATGCAAGAAAGATTAACCATGCTGCCTCTTGTGTACTTCTCTAAAGAGTTAGAATTTCAGGAAATCTTCCCTTTGATTTTAACTAATTTCGGATGATTGTGACTAATTACGACCTTGTGTTTGCAGCGGTTGCGTCAATTATGTGTACCAAATGTGTGTAGTGACGCAACCTCTCATTTTATTTAAAAAGAGTCATAAAATCTCATATCCCTTACAACTTGGTTTGATTCTGAGTGATTTCAATTTTTAAAAAACAGATTTAAAAAAAAAAATTACTTCGCTTTTAATCTATGTTTGCTTTAGTACGGTGTAGCTATTTCCAGCGCGTGTTCATCCGAAAGTATGAAAGACTTGTGTTCAATAATACCTAAAACTTATTGAGATTTCTCTTCTCTTGTTAAATTTTAGGTGCAGTTCCTTACTTCCTTCAACTTTTAAGATCCCCCCATCAAAATGTCTGTGAACAAGCAGTTTGGGCATTGGGTAACATTATAGGTAAGTTTTATTTAACATTTTAATTTTGAAAGTTCAAACATATTTCATGAATACTAAATTAAAATTAAATTTTTTAATGATGTAAAGAATCTTTAGATGAAAGGTTACTATGAAATAAATTTTTTTTATCATGTTTACTTCAGGTGATGGTCCTCAATGCAGAAACTATGTAATTAGCCTTGGAGCAGTTCAGCATTTGTTGACTTTCATAAACCCTAATATCCCACTGCCGTTTTTACGAAATGTAGCTTGGGTCATCGTTAACTTGTGCAGGAACAAAGATCCACCCCCACCAGCAGAAACAATTGAAGAAATTCTTCCTGCCTTGTGCCAACTTATCCATCACTCAGATGTCAATGTAAGTATTTTTTCAAATATGACTGTTCCAATATCAGTACTTAGTTTATATATAATAAAGCTATTTAACGCTATGTGAGGTGTTTATTCTAAGTTGTTACCATAATCTATCTCTGAAACCTTCAGGGTATATTGAATTTATTCTATTTTAAGTGACTGTTGGGAACTAGAAATTCATGTACAGGCTTTATATCATTGGTTATTGATGGTCACTCTTAAAAATCAAATTTTTGTTTTTCTGTTTCAGATCCTGGTGGACACAGTCTGGGCCTTGTCTTATCTCACAGATGGTGGTAATGAACAGATACAGATGGTGATTGACTGTGGTGTTGTTCCTTTCCTTGTTCCATTACTTAGTCACCAGGATGTCAAAGTTCAGGTAAATTTGCAAATTCAATTCTAACTCCAAGAAATTGGACAGTTAAACAATTCCACTCCATTATAGTCTGAGCAAATTCCTTTCTGTACTCCCAAGCAAAGGGGTATTATATATATCACTTTTAAAAAACATGATTAAAAAAAATATTGATTAGGATAAGAAACAAATATTTGAGTATCAATATGTTGATAATTAAAAGTATTTGTTAGATACTAATTCTATGTGAAGCAAGGTAAGGGTATAAAAGCTTTAATTCTCATACAATTATTGACTAACCTTCCCCCACATTGTGTTTATTTTTTTAAATGCCTTAACCTTTTGGGGAATGTATGTTTATTTTTAGCTGTGATAAATAACTTTGTACCGGACTATCTTATTCTAAAAAATATATTTGCTTGTAAGCTGTATGCCTAATGTGAGTGAGAAAGTTTCTTAAAATTGATGTGCACATTTCAGACTGCTGCCCTAAGAGCTGTTGGTAACATAGTGACAGGTACAGATGAACAGACTCAAGCAGTGCTCAACTGTAATGCTCTCCAGCATTTTCCGTCTCTTCTCACACACCCTAAAGAGAAAATTAATAAGGTATTTAATTCACATGTTTGTTGAAATTCATATATTCATAACTTTTGTCATTTCAATATCCTGAAGCTCAAAACAGTGAAGTGAAGAAGTCAACCAAGACTCATACACCTCAAAGAAAATTTTTACTTTCAAGAATGCAATATAATTTCTGTTAACATTTATTTGATATTTCTGTCATGATTGTGCTTTTTTAAATTTTGTAATCATGTGTTACATTTTCTTTCTTCAGGAAGCTGTTTGGTTCTTGTCTAACATTACAGCAGGAAATCAGCACCAAGTGCAGGCTGTTATGGATGCAGGTCTCATTCCTTTGATTATTCATCATCTGAATAGAGTGAGTGCTTTGTCTTTTTAATCACACCTTTTATATTTATATTATTTTTTATTTAGTATAATAAATGATTAGGTTGACTTAAGTTGAGGTTTGCACACTTTTTTAGGGCTTTAGTAAATTTTGGTGGATGTAATTATTATTTTGTTAATTCTTTTTTAAAAAAGGCACTTTAACCCTATCACTATCATAACGGCAAATGATTAGCTGTTGTATAAGTTTTTGTGGAGTGAATACGAATAGTCTAAATGGATATGGTTAAGGGGAAATCTCTGTATATATGAGTTTGCTTCCTATTTCCATTTCTATCAGTGTGTTAACATACTTTTATCAGGGCTTGTTTTGTGATTAACCTGGTGTACCCAATTGTTTTGGAGGGCCATTATGTCTGATTCCGCCCCCCCCCCCCCACACACACACACACAAAATAAACACAAACTTTCTTTATTGGATTATGATTTCAGAGATATACCTTATGCTAGTAATAACTTTATTTATTGGAATTATTTCAAATGGATTAAAATGTAAGCAATGATTTCAGAGATATTCCACATGCTAGTAATAACAGTCTTAGCTCTAGCGGTGATGGTGACTTAAGAATCAGATATTAATAATTTTTTGCTCTAAGCTTAATTGTATTGTTAGAGAAAAATTGGTTCAGGAATGGGTGGAAATTGAACAGAAAAGTAAAATAATTGGATCCCAAGACCTACCCTCAGAGATTCAAAGACATTTATGTTTGTGTATGCTCTGGAGTGTTAATTAATAATTAAACAACCATTAATAATAGAACAACCCCTAAAAAAAGTTTTTCCTTTATAAATATGCATTTTTGTTTGCATTTTGTAATTGTTCATGAATTATCATTTATGTGATTGTAGCAACTGATTTTTTGGTATCTACTGATTTTTGGTATGGGAATAGTTTTGATCAAACTTGGAGAATGTAAAACCTAACAGCCTAAAGATATATTTGAACCCAAAAGTGTCACAAATACAAAGGTCATTGCAACAGCTACAAATTTATCTCCACACCAAAACACGCACTTATTGAACAAATCATTAACATTAATCCCCTTGAAAAACAGGATAAACTGATTTTTAGGGTTGGGGCTGAAAATTTGATTGAATGTACAGTAGAACCCGGTTATGTCGACGGCCTCGGAGTTTGCCAAAAAGCTGCGAGATAGCCGATGATCGAGATAACTGTAAACCAATATGGTGGCAATATATTAACGTGCTGGAAATTTCGTTATGTACATGATGTGTGTTAATAAAATGCAGGTACTTCAGAAAAATAATAATAAATAATTTTTTTAAATATTACATTTATTTAGAGCAAATTCCAAATTTAAAAAAATGAAGCAGAATCAACTTTTAAACTTTAGTACTTTTTGAGCTACAAATTTTTAATGCCCGTATAGTTTATATAAGGCAACGGATCCCCTTATTTCTAAAATACTATTTAGGGACTACTTATTTTGAACTTCCAACTTTGGCACATTTCTTTTTAATTAAAGCTTTCCCTGACCAATCGTTCAATAGCTTTTGCAGACGGCAAACTCTTATGAATAAAACTCTGACGTACTACCACAGCATAGCCATTATGCAAGTGACCGTGAATGGCTGCCCATGATATCGTTTTGCACACAGCAAATTATCACCATTTATAATATGGACTCTGCCAGGTTTTTAAACCTCGAATTAAAACATATTTATTTTAATTACTTCTAGGTTCATTCTAAAACACAAGTCCTGTATTTTGAGAAATAAATAATTATTTTTAATTATGAAAAAATGTTTTATTTGTTGTTTGCTATTTCTTCTTGCTGGGTTCAAAAGCCGGCGATTGATCATGGGGATTGAGATAACCGAGGTTAATTGGCAAATTTGGCCTCCTTTTGTGCTCGATATCAGGGTTTGGCGACATAAAATAATCGACATAACCCAGGAGAAAAGGCTAAGACAAAGAGAATTTGGCGGTTTCACGTCAAAAGCGTTGACATAACAGGGTTGGCAAGTTAACCGAGCTCAAGACAGCGGGTTCCACTGTATTGTCATTGGCAATTAATCTATGTTCCAAGTTTCAACTTGATAGGATGATAAGAAGTGGGTCAATTAACCTTCATAAGATTTTGCCACAAAGCAACAAAAAGGATTTAAAAAATGGATTTAATAACTTAAATTGCAAAGGAATTTTGTAAACTCATTTCATGCTTTCCCCCCTTGTATTTTGTATGACAGAAATTTGAAAGTAGTCAATATAAAAAGTTCACCAATCACTATTATTACGATTTTCATTTTAAGTACCCATAGCTTGACATTTTCTGAAAGAATATTGCTTCTAGTATCACATAAGCTTTATTTTACACTAACAATTTAAGAAAAATGCTTTTATGTTTTAAATTTTTATTTGGGTTGAGATTTGTTGAGCAAAATGCACATTAACAGTTATAGGGTTAAAGAAATATTTTAATAATTTTATCATTTAGTTTTAATTTTGAGCTACATTTAACTTCAAACCAGAAAAATTTGTTAGTTTTTGTGTGTGTTAAATCAAGAAGAATCACTTTTGACAGGGAGACTTTCAGACCCAGAAGGAAGCAGCTTGGGCTATCAGCAATCTCACCATCAGTGGCAAGAAGGAACAGGTGGCCTATGTTGTTGAGATGGGAGTACTTCCACCTTTCTGCAATCTCCTTTCCGTTAAAGATGCTCAGGTTGTCAATGTGGTCCTCGATGGTATCAACAACATCCTGAAAATGGCTGGCGAAGAAGTAGAACACATTTGCCAGATAATTGAAGAGTGTGGAGGTAAGCTGAGTTCACATACTGCTTTGTTGAAAGTATTGTGCACATATATATCCACATTTTTTCTTGCATGATTTAGAATGTTTAGTTTTATAATCTTTCTTTTTTTCCTCAAACTGCTTAATAATTTACTGACGAAAAGGTAAGTAACATTTGAATTAGAGCAATAAACAAAGTACTATAAATATGTTTATATCTCAATCTTCAGGTCTTGACAAAATTGAAAGTCTACAGAATCATGAAAATGAGGAGATTTACAAATTGTCATATGAAATTATTGATGGTTATTTCCAAGATGAGGTAAATATCTTGATATATTTAAAAAAGTATAACAGTTTCCACTTATGACTTTTCTAGAGTCTCAAGTAAGCTAAACACTTCTACAAATAAAACAGTTTGAACCTTAAGGCCTTACTTATAAGCTGTCTTTTAGATTTTACAATGCATTTCTCTTAGTTAAGTAATTTTTGTGATTCCCAAAAATTAAAATAGTTAAATCAAACCAAAAGTTATAAACACTCTTCATAATATTTTAAATTAAAATTAGCAAATAAGTCATTAATCCTATAAAATTCAAGGAATACACCATGTCGCCATCTTGCCAATAATCTTTATTAATGTTTTAATAATGTGAAGCGTTCAAGTAACGGGATCTTTTTTTCTGTATAGCATGTTTTATGCTTTCTGTTCAAGCAAAATGAATAATGTCAATATATTGAGTGGTTCAAACAGTAGTTGGTCAATTGAATAAACCCTATTTTTCCCCAGAATGATGAGGAATCTCTTCTCCCTCAAGCGTCTAGAGACGGTTATCAGTTTGATCCTAATGCACAGATTCCCCAGGAAGGCTTCAAGTTTTGATGACTGCTCCAGAAACTCTTGTTTAAAAGACAATGTACAAAGTAGTGACACATATGGACTCAACAAACTGGACATACAGTGGAGCTTGAAACAAGTTCTGTCAATCCAACACAAAATCTCCCAATCCCTGCAGTGCTTTGCCCACTCGAGGGACAGATGATACTTACCTGGATCATCGCCTTTATCATCGGATCACCAACTGCCTTCCAAACAACACCAAGATCGGATTACTAATATCTTTAAACCCCCTGTTGGATATCAGCTCAAGTGTTGCATATTAACTGCAGCAGGCTACAATGGGATCTCACATCCCCCACCTAACAACTAAAACTTTTGCATGTTCAATGCTAGATTTCTGGCTGGCTTAATGTGCTTCAATGTTTGGACAACTTATGTCCTATTTGCTGAGGAAAATTTTTTGCGTGGTGCAAACATGTACCCTTTGATTATTGTGTTGGAACAATAGTTGACCGACAAATTGACATTGTGGTCACTACATCACAGACTATATGACAGGACTCAACTACAAGACAATGTAAAGGGCGCTGTTATCTGTGTACTGACTTTTTGACAGTTCTTTACAGACCGGAAGCCACTATTGGCACTTGCATGTCTTCTCTGCAGACTGATCCCCCTTAGTAATTTATGTAGGGTTTTGGGAGGTCAACAGTCAGGGTCCCCTCCCCAGCCCTTCTTTGATAATAGAGGAAAGTAAACACTGCTTGAAAGGGAAACTTAACATGTCATTACAAAGTTTGATTTGTTTTATATGGTTCATCGAAATAAGTTTTAAATACATCTTAAAACTCGTGGTGAAAAAGGTTTATATAAAAAAGTAATATCTTTCAAGAAACAGGTGTCTAAAGTGTATATATATATATATATATATATATATATAGACTTGCAGTGTTGCCAAAGTGAAACTTTGTAAAGGCATAATTTAGTGAAGCCTAATTCCATTTTTGTTAAATATGTGATTGTCACTGCAGGTCCTTGACTCCTGAATTGGTTTATGACACTGGACTGTCTAAATGCCTGCTGAAAAAGTTCTCCCCCCCCCCCCCCCCNNNNAAAAATTCCCCCCCCCCCCCTCTCAATTTATAATGAAAATATAATTAGAATTAAATTGTTTTCAGAAAATGTCAGTGTCTAACTGAATTTATTTTTAAAATCCTGTTTGTCCTTTTCAAAACAAACTTCATACCTTCTGAATTGTTACAAGTTAAAAAAATTTTTTAGTTTACTCTGAGAAATGTGGTTAATGGTACAGATAAAACTAAAGTATGCAATAAATTTCTTTTAAAAACTACTTGAATATGTGAAAAAATTACCTGAAAAATAAGTATTTTATATTAAAAAAAAGTTACAATTACACAAATTATCAAAACTTGTTTTGACTAAATTCACATATTTCATTAACTGTATCTTAGTATATGTTGTAAGTTTTAAGAAATAATACTTAAATTCTGCATTAACAAAGATTAAGTTATTTTTTCATAGTCTTAAAACCTTACGGTCAAAATAATGCAGCAATAGGTTTGAAAAAAAAAATTTACTTGGAATATGTAACGTAATTCTTTACTAAAATTTAAATCACAGCCCAAAGGCCAACCAATATTGTATTTTGTATTTGTAAAAATAGACAATTTTAAAGATGTCACAAGTAAAAGACTTTCATGCAACAGAAGTGTTTAGTCCAAATTGTTGACATGTTAATGAAAGTTGTTATGTATAGTAAGGGAAAACTTATTTTTGTTGTCTTTTTTTTTTTTTAAATAAAAATAAAGTAAATTGTACTGTATTATTTTGTTTTTGTATTCTATTTCATTTTCCATGTTTTATACCAGTCTGATTTTAAATAGTTTTTGTTTTATGCCACATTGCTACTTTCATGCAACAGAAGTGTTTAGTCCAAATTGTTGACATGTTAATGAAAGTTGTTATGTATAGTAAGGGAAAACTTATTTTTGTTGTCTTTTTTTTTTTTTTAAATAAAAATAAAGTAAATTGTACTGTATTATTTTGCTTATGTATTCTATTTCATTTTCCATGTTTTAAACCAGTCTGATTTTAAATAGTTTGTGTTCTATGCCACATTGCCTGGACAAGAATTAGTCATTTAAAATGGTTTTTAAGCAAACCATACACTAAAAAAATATTACGGTGGTCAGGTTAAATTTGATGAAGACCAATATCTAACACATTTAATTTATTATGCTTCTGTTTTTAAATTTGTTAATGTTTAAGATCTAACCGCTGGATGGATAATTGGGTGGAGATGTGTGGTTGTTGATCTCCTCCACACCCGAAACTTGGTCAGGGGCAGCATGCAGTTACTTTAAACAAGTTGTTTTAGGGAGGGCAGGGGAGACAGCACTTATAAATTAAAAAACCAACAGTGAAAGTGTATTGAATGTTGTATCTGGTGGGAGGAGACAGCACTGATAAGGTGATAAGAAACCAACAGTGAAAGTTTAGTTGTATCTGGTGGGAGGAGACAGCACTGATAAGTTGATAAGAAACCAACAGTGAAAGTTTAGTTGCTATCTGGTGACATAAAGCTGGCTTCAAATTAACTTAATCATAAACCAATCTTACATTTAAAAAGAAAACAAGCTGGCTCATCCAAGATTTATTTGTGTAGAAATAACAAGAAAATAGGCTTTTCTGACCTAGACAGGTCTACATTGTAAAATAATTTTGCTTAAATTTGCTCATATTTGCCTTTCCTTCCTGGTACACATTGGAATGTAAAGGGCATCTTTTGTTTGTACATGGTAATACTGAACACATGGCCCTGATAACACTTGTTACTGGGAGACCAGGAACAACAAAAGTCATGGAAAGCTCTCCCCATAATCAACACATGGAAACTTAATTGACTTTGAGCCTGGTCATTGCATGCTCTGTGTGGGAGTCCGTGGCTCATTGCACTGTGTGGGAGTCTGTGGCTCATTTACACCCCCTTTTACAGGTTTTTATTAGCCACGAAGAAGCTCAATGGATTATTCGCCCGAGAAGTGTAGTGTTATTTATTCCTTTCAGTTAAATGCTTGTCATAGAACACAAGGCGGAGGGTGCTGAGACGAGTTGTTTTTCTCTCTCTATCAATCTAGCTTCTTGTAAATTTCATAGTCATAGTTATTCTATTGTACATACTGATTATGTGATGTTAGCATGTAGAGAAGAGCTTTTATCTTTACAGACCTATGCATAACTTGGCACCCTAAATTTTCAAAAGTTGAACCCCGTTTTGAAATAAACTTTAAAATCCTTAAATAAATAGCTGTGCCATTTAGTTTTAAAACAGAGCGTTTTAGGGAAGGAGGCGAGGGGGGTAGGGTGGGGGGGAATGAGGAAAATGAAATAGATTTCCAATACCAAAGCTAACATTTTATTTTTTGTTAAAATTATTTTTTGTTGTTGATTTGTTCAGTGCCAATTTGTGATAGTTATTTTCTGAAGCTTCATTATTTACTAAGTTAGCTTATTCTTATTTCAACTATTAATACAGTGGTTCTGAACCTGGCTGGAGGGGGGTGGATTTTAAGAAGTATAATTATAAACCCAGGAACCAACTTAATGATAGAGGTGGAGCTAAAGACAATATGTACTTGACTCAACTGTCGTAGGACTGAAGAGAAAGGTGAGAGCTAAAAGGGCATAATATCTTTTTAAATGAAACAAATGTTCAGAAGCACTGTACTAAACTGATATTACTAACTATCCCTTTATTCTGTATAATGATATTGAATAACCTCTGCATTGATTTTTTTCTTTCCTTGATTCACATCTGCTGGTGAATGCAAATAATAAAAAAAAATGTTTTAGAAGTCCCCCAATGCTTTATCTTTTTTATAAATCATTGCTAACAGTTTGGAGATGATTCTGGTAGGGTTGGTGGCAAACTCTCATTATGATTAAGTGCAGTCCCAAATGTCTTATAAAATGTGATATATTAACCCCAGTAGTCGTGTTCTCTCCTCCCCCCCCCCCCCCCCCCCCCCGCGTTATGCCACTGGTGGCAGTAGCAGTAGGTCTTTTATTTTAAACTGAAACATCTCCATTCTGATAAATAACAATGCCTAAGGCTAAGACACATAATCAAATAGCAGGCTTCTTTGAAAAAAGTGCAGTATTAGGTAAACATATGTGAGACTGGGGGCTCTCCAAAACTAGCCTTGTGAGGTGTGACAGTTGGAGATTTCAGTTGAATCAAAATTATCATCAGTTTTAGTTTTAAATTAAAAAATGTAATATGGTGATTTGTCATACAGTTTGTTGAATAAGTTCAAATAATGGATTTTTGAAGTTTGATCAAATGTGTTTGGCTTTTAACTGGAATCCAATGAACATGCAATACATTTGAAAACAAACAAACATTTAAAAACACAATTTAAAGGAAATAACTTTTATTATTATTTATTATGAAATAGCACAAAATATATATATCGTATTTTTTATCTAATTCTGTCATGAGTGACATGATATTTTGACAGATGATTCATTAGTCAATAAAAGCATTGGATAGCAAGTGTTGGTAAAGTAGGTCATCACCAGCAGTTGTTCATCATTTGTTTACATGGGTTGACATCAGCAGTTAGTATCATTGGTCAAAATAAGTCGAAATCAATAATTGACATCTTGGGTGGAAATATCTAGCTGAAAAATATAATAATTAACACATTCGTAACCTTGGCAAGAAGTCAAACAGGTAGTTATTTAATTTGAACTCACTTTCGATATGAAAACTTCAATGTATAACTTAATAACTGCCCTAATTCATTCTCACTGAATCGCAGTTATCATGAATTTCCTGTAATCTTCTCCTTTAAACATGGGGGAAAATGCATTTTTGGGGGTTTGGGGCTGAAAATTGAATGTGTTGACATCGGCATTGAGTTTATGTGCCAGCCTTCAGCTCGATAGGTTGACGGGAGGTGGGCCAATTTTGCCACCCAGCCAGTGAGCCAGCCACAAACAAAAGCGAAGTTAATATAATAGAATTTAAGAAAAAGGAAAGATATATTTGTGATAGGATGATCACATTATTTTCTGTATAAAATATAAGAAGGTAATACTGATGATTGATGACAATCTCTCCTACTCGGTCAACGCTATGTACCTATTATTACACCAGCAACCACGTCTGAATGTTTGGCTTCGTTTTAATTTGTTCCTTCACTTCAACTTCAAACTATTTTTTTCTACCTTTTAAGTGGGGGAGAAGTTACTATGCTGGTGGGGTGGTTGTGATATGAATGATTTCTGGTCAAGGCCTTCAGGAAGCAGAGGCGTAGCGAGGGTGTTTGGCGCCCTGGGGACAAGATTCGCGCCCGGGGACAAGATCCATTTTAAAGCGCCCCTTTTTATTTTTTTTCAACTCTCAAACCCATTATTTTCATCAATAAAATAATATCAAAGCACATTTTGGCGCCCCTAACTAGCTGGCGCCCGGGGACACCTGCCCCCACCACGCTACGCCTCTGTCAGGAAGATAGAAATATAAGCCACGTGGGGTGCGATTCTTTCATGAATGATTTCTGGTCAAGGCTTCAGCCTACTTCAGGAAGATGGAAACATAAACCACGTGAAAGTGTTCTCTGTTGTGGTAGTTGTCCACAAACGGATGGAGTTTGTGCATCAAAGGGCGATCTCAGAGACTGCAAGGAAACAGCTGTGCGCAACACGGGACAGAGCAATGCGGGGTAACTCCACTATTTGAAGTGGTCATATGCATTTGGTATTTGTTCCCCTTTTATTTTTATGGTATATTTATAAAAAAAGTCTTAACCTCACACAAGAAGGAAAGATAGAGTGAGGGAGAAATATGAACTTACAAAATGTAGACCTATTTCAAATAACGTGAAATATACCATTTTCTCAATTTCGTGCCCGCCCCCCCCCCCATTTGATCATCATTTGATATCTAGCTGGGGTACACCCCTAACACTACCAACAGATTAATGAATTATTTTCCAGCAGCCGCCCATCTCGGATTTCCGCCAACGACGACGAGTTGAGTTAAAAACAACTATGCCAGACAACACGGGATGGAAGAAAATAAGATCTCTTTAAGTTACCTCATTAGCTACAGCAGCCTACCTAGACTGAACACGACACCACGCAGGGTGAGCTCTCAAATTGCACTCCCTAACATGCACGCATCATAATTTTAAAAATATTTTATATTATATTTATTTAAACCCCACAGAAGTGCATACTGGGCATTGGGCCCCTTCGCACCCCCCAGATACGCCACTTTGTTCAGTATTAAGATTCAGATAAACCCAAATCTTCCACGATCGCATTTCACCAATGCCTAGACTACAAGTCAAAAGGTAATAAGGGGAGAGACTGCAATCAGGTTAGCAGAAAAATATGAAATTAGTAAAACAAAGTAAGGTTAAACCTGAAAAAGAAACGCAAAAAAGACCAAAAAAAACAACAACGAACGTGTCGACAGGAAGCCTTCGTCAACGAACAAAACAGAAAAAAAAAACAGATTTTGTACAATTCATTTGCCACCCCCTTGGATAATACTTCTAAGCTAAGTGCTATTTTTAATTTTAATTTTTTTTCAGTTTTTTTTGTTACGAGGAGTGGAGTAACTCTATTTTATTTTTGAACGCGGGCGCAGCTTCCCCACCTGATCACCCCGCCCCTACCTTGCGGCGCGAGGTCGCCATGCGCAGATGCAGCTGACTGATGTTTTGCGTCCCTTTATACCTTCAATAATGCGCGCGCCATTGTTATTGTGCCCGCGATTTTAACTGAAGCATCATATCTTATCTATACGTT